GTGGTTATTTATGTGTCAGACTCAAAGATCAGTATTTGGATGATGATATCATAAGGGACAGTAACTTGCAAATCAGTGGATTGTACTTCTGTGTACCCTATCATTCCCCAAAGTCAATGTCTCTGTGCTACTGTTCTGTGTTGACAGAAAGGAGGGAAGGAATGGTCTGCTTCTTAGAATAAGAGAACAACATGTGAAAACATCTGCTTCAGTGACTAGATAAGAACTGTGTCAGAGATATTGTCAGAGATATTGTTTGTATGCAAATAGATGTTGATAAAATTCTAGAAAATTATTTGGTGTCTAAAGAAGTTGGACAGTCCACCAGAAATAGTTTTCACCATGTATTCATTTAAATTTCCTTAAAAAAATAGTGCCAAGGAAAATTCAGACAAACTACAGCAGAATCACAATAAATTCAAAATTAGTCAAGTATGAATAACTGACGTTTTGATATACTAGAAAAATTGCAAAAACTTCAGATTTTCAATGACTGCACCTAAGATCATGTGTCAGTAAATAGCTTGGCCTATGACATCTTTTACATGCCTGTCTTATGCTACAGCATTTAACTGTCTTCTCACTGGGCTTTCCTCATAGGAACTTCATTCATATAATTCACTCAACAAATATTGATTGCCCTACTCTATGCCAGGTGCTGGGGATACAGCAGAGAACCAATCAGAGGAAAATATACGCTTTCAAGAAGATTCTATTTCAGTCTGAGAGATAGAAATAAGAACAAGCAACATATATCATATATTAGTTGAGATTTCTCTAAATATTCACCTCTGCCTCACTAGTATCTAACACAATACATGGATATAGTAAACACTCAAAAGCTACTCGCCGCTAGATTGATTTATGAGATAAAATTGACATATAACATCATTTTACTTTCAGGTATACAACATAATGATTTGATATTTGTGTACATTGCAAAATGATCACCACAAGAAGTCTAGTTAATGTCACCAAGAAGTTCCCTCACCTGTGGCAAGCGGCAATCTGTTCTCTGTATCTGTGAGTTTAGATTGTTGTTGTTTGTTTTAGATCTGACATATGAGTGAGATGTAGATTAATATACTTTTATGATTACGCAGAGGAACAAAAGCATAATTTTTAAAATTATCATTGCTTTTATTTTTTTAAAAGATTTTATTTATTTGATATAGAGAGAGATCACAAGTAGGCAGAGCAGCAGGCAGAGAGAGAGGGAAGCAGGCTCCCTCCTGAGCAGACAGCCTGATGCGGGGTACGATCCCAGGACTCTGGGATCATGACCTGAGCTGAAGGCAGAGGCTTTAACCCACTGAGCTACCCAGGCATCCCTAAAATTATCCTTGCTTTTAAATGTGGACAGTTACTGGAGTCCTGACAGTGGCCCACAGATAAACATAGACTTAATGGTAGAGGATGTATAGAGTAACTTCCAAAATATAACTTATCTATGAGTCAAGTAGCCTGGCAGATTTATTAATTTTGGTGGCCTTAACAATGGATATAATTGTATCAGATGGCCCAAATGAATGGGTATTTTATTTCACCATCTACCTATTTTGCTTTTTGTGACCAGCAATGAACATAATCTCTTCATCCCATATACTTCTTTGACTTTATTATTTCTCTCTCATCTTAGTGCTGAGTGTTTAGAGGTGTCAGGTTAATTAATTGACTTTTCCATAGAATATCCAAATGCTTGGTCCTGTGCATTTTTCAGTTAGAATTCTAATCATTAGCCAGGATGAACAAGTGTAACATGCCAAGGTCCAAAGGAAGATATTTTCAAAAAATAACACATAATATTTCTCTGGTTCCATGTGCTGGATAGCTCTTGGAAACCAGATAGATAAAAGGCTGAGTGTCTGATGAACATCTGTACACAACTCCTTGGAATCCAAGTTTGGGTAGGCTGACCATGGAAGAATGCTCTCAGGGCTTGTGAGGTGACTATTGACAGAGCCCAGGGAAAGTGGCAGACTTCCTCATTCTTACCCCAGCCCCCACATTTCTCCTGCCAGTCTTTTCAAGGGCTTAAACTGTTTAGGCAATTCTGTGGTACCTCATTCAATACACACAGACACGCATAATAATCCACATTAGTTCTGATTCTTTAGTACTTCAACAAATCACTTGGAAAAATGCATAAATTATAAAAGCAAAGCCTGACCTATCTGAAAAAAACTAGTAAATTAGAGATAAACCAAAAGTGAAAATAAAAATCCTCTGTAATTCTACTGTCTAGAGATAACTAATTGAATTACTGATACACACCCTAGTCTTTTCTCTATACATGCACAAAATTATGTACTTGGGTTTTTTTTCCCCAAAATTGGGATCACTCAGTTTAGCAATCCAAACATTAATGTTAACATACTTTTCCGTTACATGAAATTACCACAATTTATTTTTTGTTGGATACTTAGGTTGTCCTGAATTTTCAATGATATACCATTATCAGTACTATACTAAAAAGTATACTAATACATTTGCCCTTGCAGAGGACACACTGTTTTTGCACAGTTGGTGACCACACAGCTGTTTGCAGGGAGAGAGAAGTGCACACCATGTAACTCAGGTGTTTTTAATTTGCGTGTTTCTAAACCAGGCCCAGCTGTTCCAGGCAATTACAGGAAGCATCTTTGTTCCAAACTATACAGAGCAGGTTCTTGGCTGGGGCCTGAGATTCCTAGGAACACATGTAGTCATTAATAGGAAATACATTCATGTTAATACTCACCAGGCAAGAGAAATACTTACTCATTCATCCTCGAACCAATCCCCATCTCCCCCCTTAACCCCAGCAAATAGATTATCAGTAACTTGAGGGCAGGCACATGCCTACTTTGTTTCCCATTATATCTTCAGCATTTAACACATTACCTAGCACATAGCAGATAATCAATATATATTTGATGAGTAAATTTGATGAATAAAGAAAAATATAAAATGAAAATATCTCACTCCAACTGCCATTGGGTCTTGGCTCTGCTTTCTTCTAAGAGAAACTGGGCCATATATGTTTATTTATTCTATCCTAATGGTTAACTTGGGGAACAGGGACATAGTGTCTATACCTGACCCAGGTACTTTTGGGTGAGGACTGTGGTTTTTTTTTTTTTTTCTGTGTTGAAACTTGTTTGGTTTTACTGAGCTACAGAATGTTTTGACCTGCAGTTTGATACATTATTTCTCTAGGAAATGAACCCTGAAGCAAAGAACCATTTCCCAAGGAATTTGCATGGATTGCAAGATCCTGGGGTTTTTTTTTGTTTTGTTTTTTTTTTTTTTTTTGAGTGATAATAAACCACTTTGGAATCCTTTACTAGTGGGTGACATTGTATTAAAGCTTTCAGAAACATTTTAAGCCTCAAAATATTAGACAGTTATGGTGGATGATCAGATGTTCCTCTGATGACTAGGTCCTATGCTTCTAGAAATAGTCTCAATGAATAGAAAATAATATAGTTTTATTCATTCCAACACTTACTGAGTACAATCTAGGTGTCAACTTTTGTACTGGATGTTAGAAAAAAAAGAGATGCATATAGATATAGAGACAAATGCATAATTATCATACAGTGGGGATGTGATGTAACTGGCTGTGGACAGGGGGCTGTGGTGACACAGAGGAGAGAGCAACTTGCTAATCCCTGTTGGTAAAGTTGGGGAAACTTTCATGGTGATGAACCCATTTTTACATGGGGCTTGAGGGATGGATAGGCATTTACCAGGCAGAGGAAGGGGGAATAGGCATTCAAAATAAAGCCAAAGCTGAGAAGGGCACAGTGCATCTGGGACAGGTGAGGGCCTTCAGGGCAGGCTGGAGCATAGGGTATGTGCAGGGGAGATGAGATTGTGGCAGACCTCAGATGTGTCATCCAGGAACCAGCTAAGGAGCTGGTACTTTGATGTGTAGATAATGAAGGTTTTGATAAGGGACATTTATCCTTCCGCCATTAATATCAACAGGCCAAATTAAGACATTTCCTTCTGATAATGGTCGATTAAGAAGACAAGAAAGACTTGATTTTCTTTTCTTTTAGATTTTAGGCTTTGTTATATCCTCTCTTAATGCTGGTGGTGTAATGGTCCAAACCTCCCTTAATTTTTCAGTTTCACCTTTTGTTCATTTATTCTTACCTTTTTTTTTTTTTTTTTAATAACCAAGGTGTTTTCAAAGCCTTCTTGTATGTCTGTTCTGCAACTGTTTTCACAAAGCTAGGCTCAGCGATTAGGCCAGTTTTAAGTTGTAGCTGGGACCTTTTACGGAACTTATTCCACAAAATTATTCCTTTTTAACATCATGGGTGGTCAGGAAATGGATACATGGGACCAAAATATACATTGTTATTGTTAACTCCAGGGTACTATAAAGGGGAGTCATTTCCTCGAAACCCTTAGAAAATTCCATTGCATTTTTGGAATATTCTGGGCAAGTTGAGGAAAGGGTGAGGGATGCAGAGAAGGGAATATGAAATAAGAAATTGGTATTGTAGTTACCAAGCAGAAAACTCTAAAAGTAACATTCTGGAACAATACCATTTCCATGTGCAAATTGTATCAGATGCTCTGAATTCATTCTAAAAACCTCTTATCTATAGTTTATCTGTATTTTTATTTACAAATAAACTTGTTTTTTTTTTCATGGAAACATACATATGTGTGTTGGCTTTGAATTTACCATTCCCAAAAGTAAGAAAAAATCAGTTACTTATATCAGTGTTTGTCCTTTCTTGGGTCATTCTATTTGTGCACATTTGACTTGCCATATAAGTTATAATTTTTGTAGTTTTAATGTCAATATAAACTCAAAGGAACCAGATATCTATGTCAATGTTGCTGCTACTGTTCATTTCTTTATGTCAGTATTTTGCAAAATAACATCACTTCGTGGAAAGTGAAATGGATACCTTGTAGCCTAGCTAGTTAAGTTAAACAACTCTAGGACTGAGAAATTATCTGTATCAATGGATTTTGTTATTTTGCTTGTTCTGCAGGTGACAATGGCCAATATTGGAATAAACGGAGATCATTCTCGGGAGACCTGTGAAACAACAATTTTCGCTCTCCGAATGGCAACGTGGAATCAAATCTTAGATCCCTGGGTGTATATTCTGCTGCGGAAGGCGGTCCTGAAGAATCTCTACAAACTCTCTCGGCGCTGCTGTGGGGTCCATGTCATTAGCTTGCACATGTGGGAGCTTAGCTCCATTAAAAATTCCTTAAAGGTTGCTGCTATTTCTGAGTCCCCAGTTGCAGAGAAAATAAATCAGCCAGCACCTGGTTTAATAGGACAGTAAGGCAGTGTAGGTCTAGGGCAACCAACATTCAGGAAAGTTTTGTCAATATTTCAGTTAATTGGATGGAAACAGAAAGCCTAACTGGAAAATTCAGACCTCAGCAGTTAGTTTGGAGACACTTTTGTCAGATTCAGCTGTTGAAATTTGTGAAATTCACTGTGCAATTGCATCTTTTCCCTTATTATTATTATTATTTTTTTCAACTGGAGGTAAACACAGTATGATAATGCCATGGGAGTCACACTGAAAAAGTGTTTTGGGCTTCTTTGTGTTATTCACGCTTTTGGAATGAGTGACTCTGTTGAAGCCTAAAGCCTTTGTGTGTCTTATTTGTCCAACAGCATCTTAATACTTACCTGCACAATGAAATAGCTGTTTGGGGGTCATTGCTCTGCAGCTGTTCCTGATGAATGAGGCTCAGTGAAGGGGAGCAGCCTCACTGTTGGGTGTGGTCTGTTACACCGCTCAGTATGTGACTTCAATCAATATATGAATGATCCTGTCTCTTGGGGTTCACTGTGGCTAGTTACAATGACCTCCATGACACCAGATGTGGACATCAGGTTGCCTGACCTCACGAGCCTCCTTAGAATGAGCCTATTCTTGTCATTTTGACAAATATGACTGCTTGCTTGTATTATTGTGATGGCAGATTATTTGAAGGTTTCCTTGTGTGAGTCATAGATTTACCGTTCTCACATAACCTTTTCCTCTGAAAATTCAGTAAACGATTTTTAGAGAAACCAAAGCTCTACATAGGGGGATTTGCCTGGTAGCAGTTCCTGTGAAGCATGCCAAGGATAATGCGAACAGACAGAGCTTAAACCCCTGTGATAGGTACAAAGCATGTTGGCAAAGGAGCTCTACTCTGAACTGCCATTGCTGTATTAGAGAACAAAAGAAACACAGTCTATATATAATATTCCAAGACTATCTACAGCTAGTGTGTTTGTGCTTTCTTCACACATGCATACACACACATGCATAGACACATACGCATATCAAAAATTTCTATTGAAAGCTAGTTCATTAAATCTGTTTGATAGCATCTTCTAGAGACTATGCTACCTGTGTCAAGGGGAAAATTGGCAATTAGTCAGGCACTTGGCGATCATTATTATGGGTAACCAAGAGATCAGGGGATAATGATCTCTCCCCAAATTTCCAGTAATACTTTAGACTTCTTTGCTTCTTTGTATAATCCAACCCCCCAATTTTCATGATCACTGAAAATTACCTGGGGCCATCAGAACATAGGGTAGGTAGTTCTGCCTCTGTAAAAGAATTTTTGCTTTCATTACCTGTGGTCCATTTAAAAAAATTAACCTTCTCTGTGAGACTGATTCCACAGTCTCCAGGAAATCTCTTTGTTTCAGCTAGACTTAAATTATTACATTCACAAATTTTTGCTTTTGACTGGTAATACACATTGGAAGTTGTCCACTTTTGTGAATTTTGGTAAATTCTTATGAACAAATGAAAAGAAGTTAAGCAAATAACCTTATTGAAGATTTTAAAGGAAACACTTTTCCCAGAGAATTTAAAGAGGGGACACACACAGGGACACATGATATTCTTAATTTAAGAATAGTAAATGATGAATCACACAAAGTTAGGTTATTCTCATATATAGAACACATAGTAGATGCTCATGATATACTTGCCAAATTGAGTTACAGACAAGATTATTTTTTGGTGCAAAATGAGCATGGAATTGCAAAGTTTTGTTCATTTTTATTTAAAACGGCAATTACATATTGGTTATTTTGATATGTATATGTGTGTAAATGTATATTTAAATATCCAGTGTATATACTTAAAAAAAAAAAGCCATTGCAATTTCTGATTGCTGTTACATTACATGAATGCTCTCATGTGTTTCAAGGGCACTTAAAGCCCAGAATGTTTAGTTGGCTTAGAGGAGACGTTTATTTCCCACAGCTACTTAAGGGAGTGTTGGTGTCCTGGGAGCTGAGGCACAAGGAACCATAGCTTCATCCTTTCTCCTTAGGCTGGATAGGATGTTGCAGCAAAATTTCCATGTACTGTGACCTGGGAGAGGTGTGCAGAGAAACTCTCGTTCAGGGCTCCAGGTCTCTTCTCCTTAAAGCTTTTAGGTAAATGGCATCATGGTTTTTCTGATGTCATGATGTCATGGTTTTTATGACTCTGGCCATGAGCATCTATATCGAGGAGATACTCTGACCTTAGCATATGTGGGAATGCATGGGCATGTAAGGTATTAGGGAACGACAGGACAGTCAATCTCTGCATATCCTGGAAGGATTCACTTCATCATCTAAGCACAGGTTTAGGGCAACTAAGTTGGTTTTATAATGAGGTTAAACCCAAGAAGCAGACACCAAAAATTGAAAAAAAATGTAGTAGAAGAATATGTGTTTACATTGTGTTAGACCTTTTGTCCAAGGAAAATAAAGTGAACACAATATACATATATCTGACTTCAGAATTTTATTTCTGTTATTATATATATTTCAGTGTAGTTTGGCATCTTGTTGTATGTTGAATAATAGAATGTAGCCGCCAGCAACAAATTTCACAGAAATGTTTAAAGTGAAAATTACTTTGTTCCGATTACTAGAAATAAGTAGTACAAATAGTGTTCACCAGGTTAACCAATTTTGGAATTTTAAGGTCTGTTTAAAATTTATAATTAGACCATCAGAGCAACTGAATTATCCTTCTCATTGGGTAAAGTAGTATCTGAGCAACTTCACATACTATCAGATCATATTACTTCTGGGGAAATTGATTATTCTAGGCAAATGACTTGTAAATGCAGGTGTTTTTCTTTTGTTGGTGAACTTAAAAACTGAGACAAAAAAAAAGCTAACAGCAAATGGGTTTTTATGAATTATGAACAAAGACAGGTAATGCTGACTCATAATTAGTTGTAGGTACATCCTACTGTTTCACAATTTTTACTGAGGATTTAACTAAGTGACACAAATATTCTAAATTTTTTCCTAAAGGCTGAAAGTTCCGTGTAATTATTTGCATTGCTGAAGTGCAAAATACCTAAAAGTTAACTCATACACACACACGCATGCACACACACACACATGCATCTGTCTTACGAAATAAATAGTCTTGTTTGCTCATTTTCAGTCTTTAAAAGAAAAACCTGCTTTAGTTTTGTGTCTAATCTGAATTTAGACCCCAAGTAAGAGCACTTGCTAAACACATAGATGAACTTTTCTGAAACTGGCTGCTAGCTTTGCCTGTATCACCACCATTGCTACAAATTAATAAACAAAGGTCAGAATATGAAAGATGGGATGGGAATACACATTTTCTCACTTCTTCATCTGGGTGTCAAATATTTTACCATGTGGTAAATAATGTTGGACTTCAGCTTATTACTGAGGTATTTTAACGGTAGATACAATGTGTTATGTGAATAAATCAATTTTGTGTTCTTCATACTTGCTGGACTGTATGAAATTAAACAGTGATATGTATATTTTGTGGCTTGTATCCATGTGCAACTCATGGAATTTTAGTGTTTTGACTAGTTTAAAACTTCCAACAAATGATTTACAATAAACTTGGACTAGTGTTTACCAAGAGTAGCTATTTTTAGGAAGGTCTTATAAAGCTTGGAACTCGAACCTAAACTTCCATTTTTATCTCTTTGGTGGAAAGAATTTCCACTTGTTTTCTTTTATTACCTTTGGTATCTGTTTCCTGCCTCTTTTTTTTTGTTTTTGTTGTGGTTCACCTAGGCAGGTCGTAAATTTTAATGGGAATCTGATAATTTCCAAAGCACACTGGCCTAGATGTGTCAGGATAGCAGAGACATGTCTGTGAAAATGGCCGCCCAAGTCTTCATGCCGTGAACCCTCAAAGGGTTTACAACTCACCCATGGCTCATGTCCACTCAGAAGGGGAGCTCTGCCCCTTGTAATCACTCAGACTTTAGGTGACAAAGCTGCCGCCGTCTTCTATGTTGCTTTTTTTGCCTTGCTACAGGGAAAAGAAGCATGGTAAATCATGACTGGCTCTTAGAGCTTCCACCTGGAGGTAAGACGTATTCCTTTTGCTCACACATCTCTGGCCAAAGCAAGCGATAGCCTACTACCTTCAAGGAAGCGGGTTAGTGTAATATTATGATATGCCTTCGAGGAGAACTGAAAATAATTGGTGGACAGCATGAAAGATTTCTCTATTAGGTCAAATATTTTCGTGCTTGCCTTTCTAACATAATTCAAACTAAAACTCTTTCTTTTAAAGTTTTTATTTATTTAAGAAAATCATGGAATGAAAGCATTTAGAATTCATTCTTCTAACTAGCCTATAATCAATAAGATTATAAGACAGAATGAATGCCACATACGCTGTTTGCAATTAATAGGAATTTTGGAAGATTAAAAAGTCAATATAGAATAAGAACTGAAAAAACTTGTTCTCTTTTTTCTTTTTTTTTAATTTGAGAGAGGGAGAGAGCACGTGCACACATGAGCAGGGGAAGGGGCAGAGGGGGAGGATCCCAAGCCGCCTCTGCGCTCACACAGATCCTGACATGGGGCTCAGTCTCACAACCCTGAGATCACGACCTGAGCTGAAACTAAGAGTTGGATGCTTAAACTATACCACCCAGGTGCCCCGAAAATACCATTTGATATATATCCTTATTCATAGCAAAGTAGAGGCAGAATGACTGAAATATAAAGGAACTGTGTTTTGGCTTTAAAGTGTGCTTTACTGGCTCCTGGGTGGCTCAGTTGGTTAAGCAACTGCCTTCAGCTCAGCTCATGATCCTGGAGTCCCGATATCAAGTCCCACATTGGGCTCCCAGCTCCTCAGGGAGTCTGCTTCTCTCTCTGACCTTTTCCCTTTCATACTCTTTCTCTCTCAAATAAATAAATAAAATCTTTAAAAAAAATAAAGTGTGCTTTACATTTCCACTTATACAAGCATAGAACTCTTAGAGTTTTGTATTTAATACTATTTGAGTTCTTTACATATCTGATTGGTAAAACCCCAAATTAACAAAATGCTTTCTGTTGGTGTAGTGCTAACTTTCCTGTGTTAAATAAGGCAATCCTATACCAGTATACACAGAAATAATTTTAGTTTAAGAAAAGGAGATTCTACTAGACATACTGTTGTGCTGTAAAACTTTCGTTCTTCAATAACCCACATTGGTACATGCAGAGCATTCCTGTTAACAACTAAATGCTCTTACATAAAAGAAGTGTACTATAATTTAAATAATAATTTTCCTACCGAAGCAGAGCTGGTTTTGTTTTTGGTCATTTCTCTCTTTCCAATTATGTTATTTCAATATACACATCCTTATCCTTTCTTGTGTTCTGTGAGATTGTTGGGTTAAGGGCACGCACATATTCAATATCCATAGAAACTGCCCCATTGTTACATGTGTACTT